TGAAAGTTTTGATGTTTATAAAGTTGGGTTTTTCCTCCACTTTTACAAAGTTCTTCCAAGCTTGTTTCAGACAGTACTCAAAATATAAACGGCAAAGCCTCACAGGTATAATATTTTTTTCCTGATAACTATATAACTAGCTCATTTTATTTTTTACCAACCTAGCTTTTTTCAAATTCAGGGATTTAGGGACTTTAATCTCTGAAATACTTAATTTGGGGGGTGTTCATTTTACTGAATAACCAACTCAATTTTTCCTCTTTTCTGTACATTAAATGTATTACAATTCTCTTTTTGCTGTTCACATCAAGTTGGAAATTAGAAATGGTTTTTATTCAAAGCTCTATGCCTTGGGCCAAGAAAATACAATTCTCCATGATTAAGAATAGTACCCATTATCTCTTACCTAAAAAAGGGGGAGATTCAGCTCATTCTCAGCAAAATGTTAAGCAAATTTTCTCAGGAAAACAACAAAATAATTTTTTAATTCAAAATAGGAATTAATTAGCACACGTTGCTTTGTGCTTCTGAGTAAACCAAAGGAAACCAAGACTGACCTGGTTTTCAAGAAGTTCTGATCTAGCCAATCAGTCCTCAGCAATCCCAACAAAACCACAAGCCCAGGCAGCAGATATGCGGGGGAGATGCAAAATATTGCAACAGGAGATCCAACGGGGGAGGGTTGCTAAAGATTAAGGCTTCCTGAAAGAGGTCAATCTTCAGCCAGTTCTTGATAACATTAATATATATTGTCGAGTATTTAAAATATACCCCACATATCATGGGTGGCGTAATCACTCACCTGACCACTCCTTCTTAACTTGACTTTAACTTCCAAGCTCTAAATTCTGCCCTTATCAAAACACTGTGGGCTAATTCAGTTCCTAAATGAGGTAATAGAACGGAAATGTGTCCAGAATTTAGCATTACATCAGCCCAGCTGTCAGTCAGAATATTAGGCCTTAAGAAAAAATTTGGCAGATTCTCTTCTAAAAGTACCTCCAGAACAATTTTTTTCTTTTTCCTTTCCTTCTTATGCTGTAAAAAATAAAATTAAAAAATAATCTATATGTGTGGTATAGAGTAAATTAGAAGGCAAGAGTAAATTAAACGACGTTAACACACACATCCTCTTACACATGCACCTTCACTCTTGCAAAGAGTATTTGCTTTCTAACCCGGTCGAGTGGGCGAGTGGTACGGTTCCAGGTATAATTTGAAATTCTGTCTCAGTCTGCTTTTTCTAATTTTTCCTATCAGCTGAGTCATCTGCATTTATGGTCGGCCCTGGGAGAGGAGGAAAAAGCTTTGTCTGTGGTGCCCAGGCCGCTCTTTCCAGGAAGGGAGAAATGCTTTCTCATCTCAATCCCATTGTAATCGCCTTTTACTTTGTCTTACTTTGTCTGTCTTCCCCACTCTAAACTGTGAGCTTTTCCAGGGCAGGAGCTGAATTCCCCGCAGGGAAGTAAATGAGAGAATGTCTCAGGTGGCCAGAGATTCCGGCCCGCATCCGCCACCTGCATTCTTCTCCTTGGCAAAGTCAAGCTTTCAACGCGAAAGCATTTCGATTTTCGCCTTCATAGAAGCCACAGTGGAGTTACTTCCAGTTTGAGGACTGCTTCGTTTCTTCACCTCTGAACTCATCCAAGCAGCTCCAGCACCCTCCCATGGTGTGTTTGGCTGTGGTACTCCTGAGCACAGTGCAGTCGGTGTGTGATCTTAAAATAACACTAAGTCTGATGTTTCCAGGGTATGAGCATTTGGGGAATAAGATAAGCACCCTTGACAGCTGTGTTTGAGCTGGGTTTTGATGACGAGGTAGGCTAGAATGAGCCTGCCTCTAGGGTAGGACTGGTGGCCCCATCTGCTTGGAGCTGATTATGAATAACTGATAATGAGTGACCAGACTGAAGTCATACCCTGATAACAAGACTGTTTGGAACAGCAAATATCGCTTTTTAAAAATATTAGAGATAAATGGTATCTGCTTGAATGCCTGGTCTGGTAGTTAGGAGCCAGTTTACATTTTTCCAATTAAAAGTGATTCATTCTTGATCGCATTAGTGCAAGAAGGGAAGCTTTGAAAAGACCGCAAATCATTAGGGTAAAAATATGTTAAAGTATAAACAGGCAATTTCAGGATCAATAGGAAATATTTAACCACTTTCTTTTTAATTTTAATATCAATATGCCAATGATCATCAAATGCAGTTAAAGAAGGAGGACAGGAGTTGAGAAAAAGGAGAAAAGGAAGGAAGGAGAAAGAAAGTAGCTTTTGTATTTTGTCAGGTACACCTGCCAGTTTTGTTCTTCCAATGTAGCTGTTTTATTAAAAGCACAGAATGAATACCTACATGAATTAAGACATGTTCATTATGCCACAAATGAGAGAAAGATTGGTAAAGATTAATTCTGACAGTGGAATAGAATTATAATTAGAAATCTGGGTTCATCCAGTGGTGAATTATATTTGTATCAGCCTTACACACTAAAAAGGAAAAATCTAAAATCAACCAATCCAGTAATTGATGGGCATGTCTTTTAGAGGTGCACCAATAAAAGTAAACTTCCTGTATACAATTTTATGATAATGGGTTTATTCTCTTAATATTTCCAAAAATCTGTGACTTGAGCCTAGTCCTGCACTGTCTGTCTACTTAAGCATATTTAAGTAAAAGCAACTACTCTCTGAGCTTCACCGGAATATTTTTTAACACAGTGCCTGAGTGAGTGCTTAGTATTTTGGTGTTAACACTTGATTTAGAAACCACTTTGAAGTTTTGAATTTGGGTCATCAATACAATAATTCGACAGTGTTAGTTCCACTTGGTAATAAAAAGTGATTCTTTTTTGGAATCTCTTAGCATTACAAAAAAAGCAGGCACATTCAAATATCTCAAATACATGTTTTTGCTCACGAGCACTTGTGTTCTAATATATATTTCTAATATATACTTATGTTTAAAACTATTAATAGCTGTCAGCTTCATCATAAAATTTGCCATTGTAATTTTATCATTAATCTTCTATGAATATTGAGGGTTAGGGAATTGAAGTATTATATAATTCAGTTTGAGACTTTCTGTGTCAACAGATTCTCAGCTGAAATCCATTCAGTATGACTTTAGTTTCTAAAGAGAGCATGGATTGTGGGGGAAAAAATCAGTAAGACAGCTAAGATGCTGTGGGTGAGGGCAAATGCTTCTGACAAAACCCCAATAAATTAGGAAGTTAATAACACCACAGCCTGTGGCACAGAAAAGAGAAGAACAAGGTTACGACAGTGACCTGCCACCCAGATCTGTGACTCTGAGCAGGAAGAGGCAGGAGAGGAAATAACATATTCAGGGCATTAGTGACAACATTACCACACACATTTCCAAGATAGTTTCTACACTAGAGCAAGACCACCAAAGTTTTGTTTGCTTCTTAAATACATGCATTTAAAATATTTTATTCAGAATTGAGTGAATCTAGTTAAGCAAAAAGTCAATTTGACCATTGATACAGGTGCAGTGAATTCCCTAGACTAATAAAATAAGTCCACTATGAAAACTACTAAAGTGTTTAATGATCTCTTATAGCTCTACTGTTGCCATTGAATAAGTCAAAATGAGGATTGTTCACCTGACGTTAGTGAGGGAGCAGGCTTTGTTGTTAACTGCCTGCTCACAAAGTTAAGTGCAATCAGAATTTGTGGGCTCTCCGCCAGATTCTAAGAAGCCAAGAGGTCTGTCTGCATATTATGTGAACCAAATGCCCTCCTCTTCCATATCTCCCAGTTCGGTCAGAAAATCCTCCCCTTATGAAAGGAAGGCCCAGCTGAAATGCCACTTCCCTGAGGAAGCCTTCCATGATAAACACTAATTTATCTGTCTGTAGCCACTCCTGAAATGTTCCAAGGCACTCTCGGAAAGTTCACTGTCCTTTCTCTTGTACTTTGCAGCACACATCTCAGCAGCCCTGTCCCTACAGAACAGAGATGGACTCCTTCATTTTCCAGTTCCCACAACACCTTGAATAAATTAAAAATCCCAGTAGCTACCTAGTCCACAGAGCTTACCACATAGTAGGCACTGGTGCTGTCTATGAACCTCACATCTCATGATGTCCCCAAGGTGGGTAGTATTTCTATCCCCATTTTTCAAGTGAAGACACTGAAGCACATTAGGATTGCATAAGTCATCCAGATCACAGAGTTGGCACAAGCCAAACTACTTCATATCTTTCTCATGCAAGACAACCAAATTCCATCCATGTGTCTAGATTTTATATTTGACCAACCAACCAAAATTAGCCATGAAGAGTTTACTGAAGTCCCCTCACCCTTAACAATTTATCCTTTTAGGATGTAGACGCATGTAGGAAATGCAGACCTATTTAGCCTCATACAATGAACACAAAGTCATTTTCAGAGTATCAAGGCTTAGTACCAGACTAAGTTGACAGGGAAAAACCCCCACCCCGGGCCCCATGGCTGAACTCACTGCAGATTGGACATATGTAAAGCTTGTTGCTGACTGGACGCTTTTGAATCCCACCGCTAATTGGATAACTCCTTATGTTGATTAGTTGTGTGTTAGTTGATTGGTTGTGTGCAACCCCACGAAATGTATAAAACTGGAGAAAAACAGGGAAGCGAGGCTCGGGATTTGGTGGCATGCCCTTCCAGCCCGCCCTGGAAATAAAGTCTGATTCTCCACTCTCCGTGTGGTGCTCGGTTCTTTCCCGTCAGTCGCTGTAACACTGGCTGTAACAAAGTTCTAGAACCGTCGGGCTAAGCCTGGGAGGAAAGCTGGGGCCAACCCGCTGTGGGCCGTTGGAGGCCGAGCGTCACCAAAGCGCTGGCTTACTGCGCCCGGACAGAAACGCTGCCACTCGGTGTGGCTGTGTGTACACCACCAGGAAAAAAGTGACATTTTTAGTACTTTTTCTTTTCTCTCTTGTTTTCCTTTTAGTATATTGGTTCTTTTTTCTTTACATGATAACAAAATAGTTACCTTTTTGTGTATTCTGTATTCGTTTTCTACTGTGGCTGGAACAAATGACGACAAACTTGACGCAGACGCGATATCTCGCAGCCGCAGGTCAGAGGCCAGGCCGGCCGGGCTGGTTTCCGGTTCCGGGTTCTCGCCGCTGGAATGGAGGCGTCGGCGGCGGGTTGGGCCAGGTTTTGGAGGCTCTAGGGTTGGATGAGCTGCCAGGTCCATTCAGGTGTTGGCTGAATCCAGCTCCTTGCACCTGCGGCACTGAGGCCGTTTCCTTGCAGGCCGCGGCCAGGCTCCGTCTCAGTTTCCCTCGCCTTCCCGTCCTGAAAGGGGTCCGGCCTCTTCGCTCTCCGGCCTATCTGCGCTCCCTCTTGCCTCAGGTCTCCGGTGACTCTTCCACCTTCCTCTTCGTCCTGGGAAGTCTCCTGAGATGACACTGGGCCCACCCAGATAATCCAGGGTAATCTCCCCACCGTCAAGTCAGCTGGGCAGAAACCTTAATTGCACCCGAAAAGGCCCTGCAGCGCAGTATCTAGATCGGCTTTCGGTCAGATAACAGATGACGGGAATGCTGGGCATCTTCGGAATCCGGCCAGCCACACGTCAACTCTCAAAAGAGAAACGTGAACGTGTTTCCTCAACCACAAGTTAAGAAGTTTTGTGATTTAATTTTGTCACTCCAAATGCTGTATTTTCCAACCTAATAACTATGTTACCTATTACTAACAAATGCATTGAGACTAGGAATTTAGATAGTTATAATTCTGACAAAAACATGTTTTAATCAGCAACTGTATTATTTTATATGGCATCTCTTTGTGATCTGTAAATATACCAATTGAATTGAATGATCTGAAGTATATGTAAATATATGCATTGATTTGGGTATGACAGCAAACTATACATGTTTACAGTAAATTATTCTCAGAGAATGATGGACATCTGACAGTCATGGAAAATATGATTCTCTTTGTTGATATGTTTTAAAATGGAAAACAGAGAAATTATGAAAATACTCTACATGGCTTTTTTTTCTTTGACCCTCAATAAAACTGCTTATAAAGATAATTTGAACATAATGACTAAATTTTCCTTATATGTATCATAATGATACAAGCATGTGGAGATAGTAAGACAGGCAGGATAGAATATATTTCTTAGAGATAAGCTAAATTAAATAAAATTGTACAATTGGTCACAGTTACATAGTGCTAATGAATAGTTTAAATATTTGGGAATTTTATATATTCTGAAGAAATCAAGTGTCCCCAAAGTCATTTTTGACAGCAGAGGGCACAAAGTAGTGTTCAGTTTATGCCACTGAGTGAGTGAATCAATGAGATTCAGAGATGGTGGCAGAAAGGTTACCAAATTGTTCTATGAAATATGTAATGAAATAATCCAAGAATTAACCTTTGTGTTCTCATCCATGAAAGAAGCTAAAAGTTAGATGTTGTCTGAGAACCCTTCTAGCTTCACATCCTAAAACCATGATTTACAATAATTTTCATTCTGACTTTTTATTGTTCCATCCAAGTTATTCACAAATGTTCATACATAGCAAAAACATATATAGAATTTTTCTCGAGGAAAAGTTAAAAAGCAATTAAATCAGAATTGCCATAAGATTTTTATCAAAAGCATGAGAAATACAATTTGCTTTCAGTAAGAGTTACATGTCCCAAATGCTGTGAATTCTCAAGAAATTAGTCAACAGCCCTACACAGGGAGAAAGAGGCAGTATGGTGAGGGAAGAAAGGTATGGCATTTCTGGCAGTTTACTGAATGTAGGCAAAGCACTTCACTTTTCTGTAGAAAGCAAAGCAAAGCAAAGAGAAAGCAAAGTACTCCACTTCCCAATGTGTAAAAGAGATAGGGCTCCCAACAACCAGGCATGTCATCTAAATAAGCAGTCTGTCTGTGCTGGGGTATACAGCTCTTTCCAATGCCCGAAGTCTATGGGAAGCAGCTGTAGCCCACACCAAGTTGTTAGGAGAGGCTGCAGGCATGGGCTCCTAGCGTATGTATGAAGGCTGTCCGGAAAGTATCCAGCCATGTAACTGTTCTCATTATTATTAACAATGGCTGGATACTTTCTGGACACCCCCCCCATCTCTCTATCTCTCCCCCTCTCTCTCACCCCCCCAACATATATATATATATATATATGATGGTACATAGCACCTACAAGGTGAATGGCATTGTGTGTGTAGATCATTAGAGAAAGACAGTGTCGACTGTTTAAAAATCTCCAGCAATTATTCTACAGTGTTGGACTCTCAGTGTTCATGTTTCCTCTCCTCTAACATTTCCATCTCTCCAACCAAAGGCCATTTCCTCTTGGTCTGTCAACAATGGGAATTGAAAACAGCTGCTCACCAATCATGGCTAATAGGCTCTGTGTGCACATCGTGCTATCAAGTTTTTAAGGCCACCTTCAATACCTGAAGAGGTCAGAGAGAAGAAGAACTCTGAAGTTGGAAGGGGCCTTAGTAACATCAAATCCGACTCCCACCACGGCAAGAGTCGCCTCTGTCTCTTCCACCCTTAGTCTCTGCATGGCCACTGCCAGAACAGGGGATTGGCGGCCCCCATGGCAGTGCATTTCTTGTTCAGATCACCTGAATTGTTAGAAACGTCATTCTTATATTTAGCTGGACTCTAGTTATAGTTCCTACACAACCCTATTCTGTTATTTAGACTCAAACAGAATTAACAGTTGTTCGCCTCTGCAACGAGAGTTTTCCTGTTCCCCCAAAGGCTTTATTCTAGTTCAAACATTACCATTTCTTCATGTGAAAAGGTTTACATTTATCTATCCTTTTTATTAATCTCTAGGTGCTCTCTGTTGTGTGTATTCCTTTCTTTTAAAAAACGATTCAAATAACAGAATACTGTACACAGTTCAGTAAAAATAAATGACCCACTGTCACAGGCAGAATCACAGCTGAACCTCACAAACAGAACATTCAGTAAAACAAGCAGGACACAAAAGAATATAGCATACTTCCATTTTTATAAATTCAAAACTAAGTTGTTTAGGAATGCATCTATAGATGATGTAATTATAAGTCAAAGCGAGTTAACGATCATTATGAAAGTCATGATAGTGCTGACCCTTTGCGGGGGCTGGCCTCAGGGATGTTTCGGAGTATCAGCAATGTTCTATTTCTTTAACCCTAGTACTGAAGAAATAGATGGGTCCCAAAAAGTGACATTTTAACTCTTTCAGCTGATTGTTTTGATACATACCTCCCTATTCCAAACAACACATTTACAGTTCGTTTTGTGGCATGAGCATTACCCACTGATTTCCCACTAGGGAAGGTGAGGGTTTAGCTCCTTCACTAACACACCCCGCCCTCACTCCGCACAGGCCCAGTCCCGTCCTCCCAATCGCCCAGTGTATGACATCACAATTTTGGTTATAAATATTCAGTGTTTACATAGTGACGATGAATGCAATAATCACAGCTAGGTCACGTAGTAACTGTCCCTGAAAACCTTTTTGTTTTCTTTGGAGTTACTAATTGCTTTTGTTTGTTTGCTTGCTTGCTTGGTTTTTGATGTTCTTTTCTTCTTCAGTGGTATGAACTTCCTCTAAATTCATCCAACAGGTGCTATATTTATCAGATTTACAATTTCTTTGAGGAATCTGTCTGTCCGACTGACTCTAATCACACCTGGTTGTTCACTCAGAACTTCTTTTCCCATCCTGGGAATTTCTGTCACTTCTCTCTTTTGCTGACCTTCTGCTTCCTGGATCCCAAGAATTCCTCCTTCCTTCTTTATACATTCCTTTGTAGCTCCCGTAAAGGCGTACATGGAAAGTAATTCATTTGATAAATTTTTTATTTCAAAATATTAAGGGGGTATAAATGTTTTTGTTACATGGATACCTTGTATTTGAGATTTTGAATGCCCAAAAATGTCTTTATTCTGCCTTCACCTAATTGATGATGGCTTTTGTAAGTATAACATTCTAATATTAGAATCCATTTTTCCCCAGAATTTTGAAAGCATTGCTCCACTGTCTTCCAGGTTTCAGCATTGCTATTGATAAGTCTTATATCAATGAGATTCTCAAACTTTCATATATAGTCTTATAGTTTTTTCTCCAAAGAATATTCTGATCTTCTGTTTGTCCCCAGTACTACGAAATTCCACAGTGATGTGTCTTGCTGAGCAGCTACTTTCACCTACCACGTGTGGAGAGTCTGTGGCCCCTTCAGTCTGAACCTTGAGTCCTTCAGCTCTGGGACATCATCTTGAATTTCTTCTTTAATAATTTCCACACCTCTGTTTTCATACTGCCTTCTTCCTGGATCCCCTATTATTCAGATTTTGAAACTTCCGGAATGATCTTTTAATTTTCTTATCTTTTCTCTCCATGTTCCCTACTTTGTCGTTTCTCTGCTCTCTGAGAGCTGAGAACTTTTTCCAAGTCTATCTCCCAGTCATTCTATTGAGGGTTCCCTTTCTGTGTTTATATTTTTAATTTCCAAGAGCACTTATTTTGAGCTGTGAGTGCTCTTTGTTTTGCAGTTTTCCATTCTTATCTCCTCAGTGGAATAGCTTCCCTTATCTCTCTGCTAAAAGTTTTCATTTTCTAAGTTGTCTTTCTTTCGGATTGTCTTTATTTCCTCCAATTGCTTTTCTTTTTCCCTCTTGTTTTGCTCTCTGTCTTTCATATTCCAGGATTTCTGGTTGGGCACCAAAAAGCTGACTGGAAGCTCTACAAAAGAGAACAGGGCTCCTCAAGACATCACTGTCGGGTGACCTGGCTGAGCCAATTAATTGGAGAACTTCCGATATTAGCACTCTTAGATCTTTCTTCCAGGGTGATTTAGCTTGACATGGAAGACTGTTAGGTCTGGAGCTGAGAGAGAGAGACACATGAAGCCTCGTGTGTAGTAAAATGCTGTTTATTTGGGGTATCTGGGTGCAGATGGGTAGAGGCCAAATGAGCATCCACCACGAGGGAGGGGAAAGCTTTGGGTTTCTAGAGGGTTTTTGGGGGGGCAGCAACACCAGCAGAGATAAGGAGGCAGGTAGATTCATCCTTATTAGGAAGGATAGGAATGCCGGTGTCATTGCAGCTGTCTGTGGTCCTGCAGTTGTCTGTGGTCTAAGTGAGATTTACAACCTCCAGACTCCAGACTCCTGCAGCTTTTATACTTTTCAGGTGCCCCACCCCCCAACCCAACCTAACAAAGACTTTTCTAATCTCTACCTGGTGTAAAGCAACCAGCACCCTACACTTGGTTGGGGGAGGAAGACCAGAGGAGGTGGCGTGAGGTCTCAGTGTTCCACGACTACACAGTCATGTCACCCGTTTCTAACAGAGCACCAGCGCTAGGCTGCCCGAGTCCTCCTGTTCAGCCAGAGACCCTCTGTTTCCCCCTCCCAGAGACTAGCATTCAGTCTTCTGCTCTAGCAGGAAGGGAATCTGGGAATCCGGCTTCTTAAAAATGTTGTCATGAAGCCGTCCAGGTTCTTCCTCCACTTCCGGCCACCTTCTAGGGTACTGGGTGCGGCCAGGTCTCACTATGAGGAGTTTGTCCAGTGTCAGAGGCTCTGCAGCCTTCCCACTGCCTGCCGAGATGCAGGTTTCTCGGGGGGTTCAATCGGTAACGGTCTGTCCCTCTGCTTCCCAGCCTTGCAATTGCTGTCTTCTCCCCCATTTTCTCTTCTTCCTTTTCTTTTATAAGTATGTATGTATGTATACACACACACACAATTTTTGTTTGTTTCTTGTTTTTTTTTATTTGTTAATTATTGATTTATTAAAAGAAACTATTCCTCGACCCACACATTCATAGCTCAGAAACACAGGGCAGTGACAAACTTCTATGAAAATCAACCCAGCGAAATTCTTTTATATTCCAAAATCACTTTGCACTTTGAAAGATGCCAGCCTTCCTCATCTCCTCACAATCTTTCATAGAATCATAATTTCTATAGAAATTTGCATATGCTTTCTTTCTTGGTTGGGCCACAGCAAACTTACACAAAGCTGCAACCCCCAGGGATACAATGAATGCTCTGACGATACGAAACCGCAGACATCTGACCAGGAGGCCACGCATCTGAGGTTTCGTCAAAGCGCTGGAAGCCATGGTAGTTACTATCCTTGATGAGTGTGCCAACCTCAACAAGTCTCTCCTGGCTGATGGAGAAATGAACTAACTGCATGTTTGTTTGTTTGTTTGAGACAGAGTCTTGCTCTGTTGCCCAGGGCTAGAGTACAGTGGCATCATCATAGGTCACAGTAACCTCAAACCCCTGGCCTCAAGGGATCCTCCTTCCTCAGCCTCCCCAAGTGCTAGGATTACAGGTGTGAGCCACTGAGCCAGTGTGTAATTTTTAAGTAATCCAATTTATTATAGATTTGGCAAAAAACATAGGCAAACGTGTATCTAATTTGCCATGTTAGTTTGGAAAGTATCTATATGTTTTGTCACATGACCTTCTCTCAAGACAGATTTTTTTCATATTTTATGTGTTCCAGACAATTTCTTGAAAAATAATGTAGACATATATTCTTTTTAATTTTAATCTTGTCCTTTATGCCCATTAGTCACCCTTTTGAGGTATTACTAGTTTGGAAACTTGGTCATGTGGTAGGAAAAACAATAATAATAAAAATATCTACTATTTTAGGTGTATCAGATTCTGTATGAGATCAAAGTAATATATACATACCCCTCACAGTTTTGTGTCACTCCACATCTGATAATCATGTTCTTTGTCTTAAGTCATGGGTTGGCAAACTACAGCCCATGGGCCTAACCTGGGTGGCTGCCTGTCTTTGTGGATAGTTTTATTGGAGCACAGCCATGCTCACTTTTCTACATCTTGTCTATGGCTGCTTTTGCACTACAGTGGCAGACTTGAGTTGTTGCGACAGAAACCATATGGCCTGCAAAGCCTAAAATATTTACTCTTTGGCCCTCTGCAGAAAAAGTATGCCAATCTCTGCTCTGCTCTAAGTTACTGATAAAAACAAATATGGCAGGCTAGATCTAAAACCAGTGGTGAGGCAACAAACCTCTGTTAAGGCTAACATTAATTCATTTATCAGTACAATTAGAAAGCGATAAATCTATTTAAAAACTCCATGATTTTTAGGTTATACATATCAAGTACATAAGCTAAAAACAGAAATAAATAATACTAATGGCAAATTGAATGAATTGTTTTATAAAATAAGAAATCTCCCGCCAATTGGTGCTCAAGCAGTGATAACATTCAAACACAAAAGAATCACTGTAGAAGATATTCACGTACAGGATTCATGAACCTTGTATGTGGATTCTAAGGGATTCCAAGAATTTCCAAAATAGACTCCAGGGAACCCTCATCCTGTAGAAAGAAAGAAAGGATTAATGCTACAATAAGTTTGTGAAATTTTATTTACTATATTCTCCCTCTTGGAGATTTGCAACATATTAGTACATGAAAGATTTTTGGGAATTCCTGCAAAAGAAAAATCTGAATGACTTTGTTTATGCAAAGACTACCCATTGGAAATTACTCATTCAAAATTCCTTGTAATCCTGAGACTCTGTCATCCCATCTTTGCTGTGTTTATATTATAGGAAACATCGGCAAATGCTTTGCTGATATGGTTGGTACTAACCAAAATGATTAACAGTGTTTTTCATGGTTTTCAGAAGCTCCAGAAACTTGATGATTCTCTGTGTATGACGGCAAGAGTTTCACCTGGAAGTCAGTTCAAAGAAGCCAGCAGTTAACAAAGTAGCAGGGCACCGAGACAAATAGCATACGTCATTTACTGCCTCCCTCTCCCTTGTCATGAGCCCACCAGAAAGGAATGAAGAGAAGATAAAAAATAATAGTCATTCAGCTGGGGGACAAGCGGGATCGCCTGCGCCTGCTGGAAGCAACTGGAAAGCTCTGCACGCAGCAGTCACTGTATAGAAAGTAGGGCAGCCCCGCGGCAGGGTAGTATCAACTGCTGCCTTTATTCTCTAATTTGGCATATCAATCTGTTGAGGGCCATTGATAGATAACTGTGCCATGGCATTCTCTATCATGACTGTACTCTGATCGCCCTTCTCCCTACCTGTCATAGGTGGTTCTAGTCATTAATAAAGATAACTTATTTCAGTACTATTTTATGCCTCAGCTTATCTAGTAATGATAAAATATTATAAACCTTCTGCTCACTATACACTAAGTATACACTAAGAGCCATCCCTACAAGCTATTTCCCTTTACACAAACCATGAAATAGGAAGCATCTCCGTGAATGAGGATTTTCTCTATTTCCATGAACTTAAAATGATTTGCCTCCTAATACATTATCTCATTCAGGAGTCAAGCTCTATTGTTATTCCCATGTTACAGACAAATAAACCAAAGCTCAAAAAGGATCTTAGAAAAGAGCCAGGATTTAAACCTAGATCTTCCATGGACAAATTTTATGCTCTTTCTAAGAAACCTTGCTGCCCATCCAAATACTCTTTGTTTTTCCTCACTAATTCTATCAGTCTAGTAAGTCTATCCAAAAAAAGAAACAAAAATCCACAGACAAGAGAAATGAGGTTTGCTTACTATGATATCTTCTTGGTAAACCAAACATGATTCCAACATTTCTTACCCTTTGCCTGTAAGTCACCAATTAAATGTTATGTTTGGAGATTTTACAAGGTAGTAGCAACATACTAATTAGTTTTTGGTTTCTAGCTGCTAACATTTTTTTCTCTTTTTTTCTGTATGCTGAAAATAAGGAGATAATCAAAGTATGATTTCATGAATCACAGAGTTATTGCTATACAAAGAGAATTTTTTTCTTAGGTTCACAGTGCTTAAAGAGGGGCAGAACACCTGAACAAAACTCATGTGGAGTAAACTCGATGGATGAGGTACATTATCTACACAGTGAGTGAGTTCCAAAATTATTAAACTCTGGTTGTTCAATTAGGATGGAAGCAGGCCTTTGTGGACAGTGAAGTCTAATTAAAAATTGAGGTGTGCTATGAAGGTTATCCTTCATAGCCAAAAACTGTTTTATAGGAGCAATTCTTGACAGAAACTGGCTTGACCAGCACAGTGGAGAACCCTAAAGACACATAAGGTCCCTCAAAGCTGGAGGGCAATGTCGGCAGGCAAGGATTTAAAGTTACTGTAAAGCTACTGCAATCAAGACAGTTTGGTATTAGCATAACAATAGGCATATAGATTAATGGAAGACTTAAGAAGTAGGTCTATACTTCTCTGGGTAATAGATTTTTAACAAGCACCAAGGTAATTCAATATATAAAGGATAGTCTTTTCAAAAAAATGGTGCTGGAACAATTGTATATACATATGCAGGCATAGAAATAAAATTTAAAATGAACCTTGACCTTTACCTCAAACCAAATAGAAAAATTAGCTTGAAATTGATCATAGACTAAAACTTAAGGATAAACTATTAAACTTTGAAGAGAAAAATATGGTAAAATATATCCATGAAGTGGGGGTAAAAAGATTTTTAGTTAGAACACAAAAAGTATAAATTATAAGATAAAAAATTGATAAATTGGACTTCAAAATAAAAATTTCTGCTTTTTGGAAAAAAATGCTGTTACCGTTAAGAAAATGAAAATGCAAGCCACAGACTAGAATAACGTACCCACAATACATAAGTATCACAAAAAACTTATTTCCAGAGTATATAATATAAAGAACTCCTATAATTTAGTAATATGAAAACAAAAAAACTGCCCCCAAAAGAATGGGCAGAAGATTAGACTAGGTTCGTCACAAAAGAAGATATGTTGATGTATCACTTAGCACATGGAAAAAAAATGTTCAACATCATAAGTCATCAGGGAAATGTAAATTAAAGCTACAATAAGATATCACTACACACCCACTGGAATGGCTAAAATTTAAAGGTCGACAATAGTATATGTTGACAAAGATGTGGAGCCACCAGGTCTGTTATACATTGCGGTTAGGACAATAACGGTACAAACATTTTGGACAACAGTTTGGCAATTCCTTATAAGGTTTAACATACACTCACCACATGACCCAGCAATTCAATTCCTAGGTATTTGCCAAAGAAATAAAAATTATGTTCCCACAAAGATTTACACTTACATGTTCAGTAGGTTATCCTTCATAGCCAAAAACTGTTTCAATAACAGCTGAATGGATAAACAAATTATGGTATAATCATGTAATGGACTGCTACTCAGCAATGAAAAAAATGAACTACTGATACATGGATACATGTGAAAATGTGAATGAGGATAGGGCCTGTGTCTCATGCCTGTAATCATAGCTCTCTGGAGGGCCAGGGCAGGAGGATTGCCTGAGGTCAGGAGTTCAAGACCAACCTCAGCAAGAGTAAGAGTAAGTCTCTACTAAAATAGAAAAAAATTTAGCTGGGCAACTAAAAATAGAAACAAAATTTAGCCAGGCATGGTGGCACACACCTGTAGTCCCAGCTACTCAGGAGGTTGAGGCAGGAGGATCACTGGAGCCCAGGAGTGTGAGGTTGCTGTGAGCTAGGCTGATGCCACGGCACTCTAGTCCAGGCGACAGAGTGAGATTCTGTCTCAAAAAAAAAAAGTGAATGAGGCTAAAATAATTATGCTGAAACACAACACAAAAGGATACATGCTATATAATTCCATTTTATGAAATTCTAGAAAAAGCAAAAACAATATATAATACTAGAAAGCAGATCAGTGTGTCCTGAGGTTTGAGGTGTGGATGGGAATTGACTGACTATGGACAAATGGAAACTTTGGGGCGTAAGGGAAAAGTTTTCTCTCTCAATAATGGCGGAGTTTACATGTTGTATATACTTGTCAGAATTCATTATAATGAACCACTTAAAATGGGTGTATTTTATTGTATGTAGATAAATACAATAATAAAGTTGATTTCTTGAATGTGTATGTACAAAAATAGAAAAATAAATCCGGAAATGCATATATCAGTGTTGTTATGCCTAGATGGTAGGACTACAGATGACTTCTTACTTCCTTTATTTTGCTCTTTTGTGTAATATAGTTTTCCCAAAATGACTGTATACAACAGTGAAAAAAAATATTAAAAGTAACATCTATTCACTAAAAAAAAGCCATGTGTATACTTTTCTCATCCGTTTTAATAATTTTTTCATCTTCTCATGGGATCAGGGACAGGTCTATTCACCTCCTAACCTCCTGCACCCAGCACCCCATCATATTTGG